TGGGTGGTGCCTGGGGTAGTCCTTGGGTCGCACAGCAAAACTAATTTTGCTTCCTCTCTCTCCCCTCTTCCCCCAAGGGGAAAACTCACTGTCATCTCCAGAACTGAACCCAGCTGTTCTGACCTCAAATTAAAACACATCCCTTCTCAGTGCCCGGAGACAAGGGTGCTTGTAGAAATTCTGCCCGGAAAGTCCGTTCTTCAGAATGAGGCTATTCACTTACACAAGCTATTTCTGCTGTTTCCTACGGAAGCAAGATGAAAATCCCCAATAAAAGCCAGGGATGACCAAAGTATTACTACTATGCTGTTTAGAGTGAGGGGAAACAAAAAGGAAATTTCAATTCCCCCCAATTTTTTTTTTTTTTTTTTTTTATCATTTGAAATACCTTTGCATTTTTAAGATCCAGGTGGCATGTTACTGGTAATTTAACTTCAGGATTGGTTCTACAATTTTAAAGTTCATTTGATCTTTCAATTGAGCTTATCTCCTGTAATCAAAAGAGCCATTTCCTTCAGCTTATTTTTTAAAAACTGAATTTCTTTCTAAGACGGCATGCTGCCTGTTTCACCCCGGGTTGTCAAGGGGCACCTAAAAAATAAATGCCACAACATACTATGCACATTATGATCATGAGGCAGTATATGCAAATTGACACTTTATTAAGTTATCTGTTTTCAGATATCTGAGTTTAGGTTCAATATTTTCCTCTAAGATGGGAGGGCATTTTGTTTCCATAAAATTGGTTAACAATCTATTGTTATACATAGCTACCTAGTAGTTTCTCTGGTATAAAGTATATCATCAGTGAAATAAGCCCGGATTGATGAGGTTGCTTGGTGGCGTGAGACTGTGGAGGGAAAGAGACAGCATTGTGAATACAGGTGATTTTAACCCTGAACACAGTGTGTTTGTTTTTAAAATGTTCTATCTTTATCCCATAGTTACCAAGGCTTCCATCTCTGCTATAGATGTGGATGCATACCGGGTCTATGGTTTTCAAGCAGCAACAGACTATGTGCTGCAAATGGCTCCATTGTGGGGTATAGGAAACCCCTGGCTACATGCAGTTCTGTGGGTCAGAGCCCCGGCCAGCAGGAGCCCCAAAGGCGAGCTCTGCAGATGTCTTCCGCGCTGGAGTGGACAGCCACGTTTCTGACAGGAGCTTCTGTGTCAGACGGGGCCCTGGGGAGGACAGAGCGTGGAGTGGGAAATGTCCCAACTGCAGTAGCAACAGCCTTGCCATCCTGGACGGGGAAGGAGCAAACATCACAGATTTATTCCTTCTGCATAAAATCAGTTCGTGAGTTTTTCATTTTCTTTCATTTTTACGAAAACACACACACACACACACACACACACACCAGAAACTTGATGCAAAATGGGTTCCAAAGTAAAATACATAGAAATATGGAAATTTAATTCTTTGAATTGAGTGCAAATCATCGTTCATACATAACACTACATAACACATGTCAAAATTTCCTTGTGGCAAGCAAATCCATTGAAGACTGAGATCTGCAGTGTATCACAACACAGCGTGGAAACCGTGAGCATAACTTTCCTTTCTTTTTAGTCTAAATTGCAATACGATGGTAAATCTGTTTTGAGACAAAGTGTTATCTACCTGTTATGATACATGATGCATGTCTGCCTACCTGCAATCCAGCCTGTAAGATTGTGTTTTTAAAATTAAGAGATAATTTTAAAATATATATATATATTTTTATTGATTTCAGAGAGGAGAAGAGAGGGAGAGAAATAGAAACATCAACGATGAGAGAGAATCATTGATTGGCTGCCTCCTGAATGCTCCTACTGGGGATTGAGCCCACAACCCGGGCATGTACCCTTGACCGGAATCCTGGAACCCTCAGTCTGCAGGCTGATGCTCTATCCACTGAGCCAAACCAGCCAGGACAAAAGGAAATTTTAAAAGAAAATTGTTTGAGAGTGGCTCTCCCATCTTCTTCTGGTCTGGGATGAGTTATTTTTCTACTGCACTATTAGTTATTTCCAAGTCTCACCTGGGCCAGAAATTAACATAAGTTAGGTCTAAGAATCCAACAGAGACTTTCTGCTCAGGACTGGCCTGATGACCATATCCCCACTTTGAAACAATCACACACACCTGCTGCAGTGAGAGCAGTAGGAATCTGGAGAGAGCAAAAAATTGTGTGTGTGAGAGAGAGAGAGGGTAAGACATACAAAAAAGTCAAAGCTTTTCCCCATTACCCCAAGGAGAAAAAAAGTCAGGAACAATACATACAGTAAAGAGTAAAGAACTAGCTTAACAATTAACCTACTAACTGGTCCTGTTCTCAGTGTTTAGTGAGAACCACTCCTCCCCTCCTTCTCAATTCTTGACTTTTAGAAATGGGTCTAAGTTGCTCTGCATGTATTTTCTTCAGATTCAGGTGTCCTTTGTGGAACAGGGGCTGGTCTCTCCGGGCCCTGGGAAGAAAAGGGCCATGGACACAGACAATAGGGTGGTGAAGGCCTGGGACAGAGGGGGGGGGGAGGGCAGGGGGTGTCAATAGGGATAAAAGGGGGACATATGTAATACTTTCAACAATGAAGATTATTTTTAAAACAGGTAAAACTAGAAAAGAAAAGAAAAGAAAAGAAAAGAAAAGAAAAGAGAAGAGAAGAGAAGAGAAAAGAAAAGAAAAGAAAAAAGGAGGGGAGGGGAGGGGAGGGGAGGGGAGGGGAGGGGAGGGGAGGGGAGGGAGAAAAGTGAACTGGAGATTCTTGAGTAGGCAGTTGTAACCTCTGGACAGAGTTCCTGGAGGAGATGCTTCCAAACTTCACCAAGAACTCAAGTATCTATAGAAGTAAGAGTTCCTGCATTTGAAAGGGGCGGGCTCCTGGGTGCTGACTGTGGAGAACACACACGTGGGTGCTTGTGTGGAGGTGGGACTGTGGTCAGGACCTGTTTGTGTCCACAGACTGTAACCCATACAGATGGGACTAGATCACCAAGAACACTCCTGGGGTTTTCTGGTGGGTCCTGGCCATGTCAGGTGCCTTTTGCATGGCTTCACATAAAGACCCACACTGTGTTCCACCATCTGAAGCCACCCTTTTCTATGGAAGATTTATTTAAAGTACATGAACAATCCCCGTCTTCTAAAAGACCTAAAGAGGATTCAGCAAGTTGGCCTTTTCCTTCTTTCTAAACACCCCCCCGTCAGTTTACTCAGGGTTCTGCGATAAGGGTGGGCAAATAGCAGGTAAAATACAGGGAAAGGAAGTACAACCTTAAGACAGAAGAGAACAAGTAAGTATTATTTTACCCTCTCCTAATCCTGCTCCTTCTTCCCTACTCTGCCTCTGAGAATAAGCCACCGGAGTCCCCGAAAACACTCGGAGTTGCTGCTCCTAAACAGCTCCTTTTCCAAGGAGGACCAAGGTCTGCTTCTGATCTGGGGCCTTAGACGCTCTGTTATTGCAGCTTAATTTTGCCGGAGCTTCTTTTCAAAGATTATTTGGAATGAATTGTTTCTTTTGTTTACTATCTAACAAACGACCTCTGCTAATCTTATATTTTATCTCCCTAACATATGGAAAAGCTATTTATTCTAGCCAATCACAATAAAGTAAAGAAAACCCCATTTTATGGAAAAATATATATCACTAGTCTGTTGATCATTAAAGATATGATTACCAGTGAAAACCCTCCGAAGGTGGCACATTTATGCTTCCAGGAACAGATGGGGACACGCATTTTCCTTGCAAATACTTTTGAAATTGCTCTACTGGTAGCAGTATAAAAATGATATACAGATGCCAGGGCCGGCATGGCCAGGATGAGTGCACCAGATTTACACAGTAAAGCCTTCACGCGCGGGCTGTCAGTTTTGATTGATCTCTACTATACCTCAGGAACTTGTTGACTAGGTAGGGAAACAGTGCAAATAATTCACCGCAGCAAGTCAGATAATTCACACAACCAATCGGTCTGCTTCACTTTCTGGCTGTGACATATGAGCCTTCCCCACAAAGATGCATCATTTTCCAGCTTGAGCAATATTCAGTGTCAGGAAAGGAAGAGTATTAACGCCACACCAAAGGAGGCAGACTGACGCAGGACCAGAAGTTGTGTGGGTAACAGAGGCCGGATCATGCTGTACTATATAAGTCCTACCGGAGCGTTCAGGCTCAATTGTCATTATCATATTGATTAAAAAAAAAAAAAGTTCATCATAGTGCAATTTTAGGTTTAACGCCAACAGATCGGGAAAGAGCAAAGAATTATCCCACAAAAGCACAACATTCTTGCCGCAGGGACGTTTCCCTGTTCCAGTTCATTGATGGAGTTGATTAAGTTTAAATGAAGCAGACACTGGATAAAAGTAAGGGTATTGACCACTGGGCACCGCGATCCGTGCTTGAAAGGACCTGATACATGCAGAAAAGCAAGATTTGCTAAATGCTCTAATCTTCAATCAAATCTTACATCAATACAGACAAAGTTTGGTAATGAGAGATTCAATGAAGCATGTGGGAGAAAGAATTAATCCTCTTGGTCTAAACTGGCTTCAACTTTGAAGCTTGCTCCGAAGGAAAGACAGTTATCTAAATGCTAAATAAGAAACTTATTGTACTTTTCATGGCATGCTAATCTTTTGTCTATTTCATCTCTATTATGTGTATGCTCCTAGATTGCAGTTGTCATGGTGATTATATCAAGCCACGCTTGGGGACTGCCGTGAGAAGCCAGGCACGGAGGTGGAAAAGACCCCCACGCAATCCGCAGCACCGAATCAAGTAAATAAATAAATAAGTAGAGGGGGGAGGAGGAGTAGGCAGGCTCCAGGCGCCTCTGGGGGCTCCCTCCAGCCAGGTTCAGGCCTTCCCCCGTTCCATTGCCAGAGGGTTGGGTTTTCCTGTCTTTCAGAGCGTGGTCTTTCCGCCCAGCCAGCAGGGAGCAGTGTTTGGTAATGGTAGTGGGGAGGGGGTCAAGCATCCTTCCTACCTCAAATACCTTTCCTCATAAAGGCTCCTAGCTGGTTAGTCCACTTCCCGCCAGCGTTGTAAACAAATGGGTGGGAAGAGCCACGGCAGAAGGAAGGGAGAGACACCAGGGCTCAGGCACGGGCGGGCGGTCAGCCTCCAGCCTGTGCCCTGAGGGTGGGAAGTTGAGCTGTAAGACCCTGACTGCCAGAGGGGAATGCAAACCTGGAGTGGCCCAGGCAGCCCAGGCGGGAGGTGGAAACCACAGGGTCACTGGGGTCCCTGGTGACCAAAGGTGACCCTGGGTCCTTTATGTGTTTTACAAAAGTTGCCAAATTAAGACGGGATTATAACTGCTCAAGTCCTTGTCAGAGCTGAAAGGTTGGGAGCCTCAAATATGCCCCAGCAGTGTTGATGAAAAGCTTAAAAAGTAATAAAAGGGAGAAAAGAGCAAGGAAAGTAACATATATAACTCTTATTAAAGAGAAGAGCCACCGAGAGGTTGTGAACTTGAATCACCGTTTGAACTTTAATTTGTTCATTAACAGGATTTGCCCCTCACTGTGAATGTTATTACTTCCCTTTGCCGCTCAGCAAAAACTCTGGGCATAATGAAAAAGTCTGGCAAAAAGTTAAATGCCTGGTAATTAATTCATTTAATTGAAGAAAGGAGGAAGAGAGAGGGTCCCTCTGCAGGAGCTGAAAGCTGAGGGGTTGGGGGGGGGGGGGGGCTGTGGTGGCGGAGAAGGCTGGAATCCACAATGAGGCCTCTCCAAGACCAGTGCCTGTCACCCATGGGAAAGGGGAGACTTGCTATCTGATGAGGCTCCTTCAGCAAAAATAATGCCAGCAGCTCGCAGACCCCCTGGCCCATGCCACCTGCCCCTGGTCCAAACCCTCCAGCCAGGGTTTCAGCCAGCAGCTACTCTGGGTAATCAGTTAGGGTGGCATGGATACAAGAAATCCAAAAATGATATATATTTAGAAAATCTTTACATAGTAGATGTCTTTTGCTTTCTCCACCTCCTTCCCTTAGAGCAGGTTTCCTCTGCAATCTTCTGTTTCCAGGCTGGAGTGAAAAGGAATGCCAGGAGCCGGATATAATCTGCATGTTTGCATCTTAATCAGCCTTATAATGTCATTCTTTCTCCCTTACCATCCCCACCCCAGCAGGTGGTTTAAATAAACTCAGGAGATAAGAAATGAACTACCGTCCTTGCCCCTGCTCGGAAGTGACAGGACTAAAGCAGCTGGCTTTGCCTCTAACCTCACAGGGCCTGCCTTTTCCTTTGTCACTTACCTTCCTCCTGTGTTCAGCAACCGTTGTGCACATCCCTTTGCATGTGCATGCTCCTTCCCAGGGAAGCAATGCTTGGCCACAGTGAGCTATTATGACTCCCAAGAGTTATTACCATGTCACCCTTATAGCCAAATGAGAACACCAGAGTTCAGGAAATGAGTGGTAGGGTAGTTATTCTTTCCTGCTTAGTATGTGTAAGACCCACCATTGGACAGTAACAGGCAGTTTCGATTTCCTTGTGTGTATGTGTGTGTGTGTGTGTGTGTGTGTGTGTGTGTGTGTGTTTTAACTGATTTGAAAGAGAGAGAGGAATGGAAAAAGAGGGAGGGAGAAGGGGGGAGAGGGGGAGAGAGGGAGAGAGAGAGAGAGAGAGAGAGAGAGAGAGAGAGAGAGAGAGAGAGAGAGAGCGCGAGCGAGCGCGCGCAAGAGATTGTGAAAGTTGCTATTCCACCCATTCATGCATTCATTGGTTGACTCCTGCATGTGCCCTGTCTGGGGATCAAACCTGCAACCTTGGTAATGCTCTAATCAATTGAATTACCCGGCCAAGGCACATTTTTAAAACTGGTATCTATGTAATCAGTGTGACTTCCTTTAGAAATACTATTATGTACCATGTGTTTTCCCATTACAAAGCTACTATGAACAGAAAAGAGAGGGGGGGTGGGGAGAGAGAGGGGTGAGGAGAGAATGAGAGACAATATAATTGAATTCCCTAGGATCCAAAACTATTTCCTAGGTTTGCGTTTTTAATTAAATCCCTTCTAAACCCCAGGGAAATAACAGAATTTTCTCATCCAAATCAAAATATCACCAAGTAAAGTTATCAAAATTACCATTTTGCTGGCAGCATCCCCCTATTTAACCCAATGCCACTTGGTACTACAATCCTAACCTCAAACTCCAGACAGCTATAAATGATCTGTGTCTGTGTCTTCCTGAAAACCAATGACAGGCACACATCCATCTGTGTCAGCAGGAAGAGGAAAGGAGCTGTTTGAAAGCGCTGTTTTAAAAGCTGGAGGGAGTTCTAGGGTTTGTTTAGCACTTAAGTGACTTCCCACCTTTTACAGTCCCTGGATATTGAGTGAGTTCTATTTTCCATAGTTGTGGATCAATATGGTATAGCCGTTTTATTCTGGGCAACTGACACTAAATATTAGGGGTCTATGAAAAATCAAAACAAGACAAAGGTTCCTTCACACCACACTGCTGGAGCCTAAGCTCCTTTTATGAAACTTTAG